TATATACTACCTACGCCTATTTGTATGCCAGAAAGTCACTGCCTATGTGGACCCATTCGTGCCCCGTAGAGTGCTCACTTAAATTTTCCCCATTTGTTACTCTACGCCGTCTGCGTATTTTGTCTGTACGTTGTTTGTCTTTCACTGGGTTTTCGCTAGCTTGGTTGTCCACCGATTGTTCACTGACTACCCATTGTTGTCTACCCACTTTTTACCGCCTTCCTACCGATTCTTTACTGCCTTCCTACCGACTTCCCACTGACTCCCCTTCGATTTCCCCCCTCGGCGCGCAGCTTCTCGCCCAATTTAGCAGGGTCTAAAAATTGGCGGCATATTATGAGCTTACGCCAAACCCTATATAGGACGCGCCCTCAACACGGCCATTTTTTAGCTGCCACTCGGTTAAGAGGCGCCTCCCGCGCGTGAGCCGCATAGAAGCTGTTCCACCTGGTTACAAGCCACTCCACCTGCCTAAACGCCGCTCTTCCAGTCCCTACTGCCCAACGCAACATGCTGAACAACTGCGGAGAGTCCAAATGCAGGGCCTACGGGCAGCACCTGTGCGACCAGCAAGGGGGAAAGCAGACCAAGCAAAGGGACCCAAACGAGCAGTACTACCAAGTGGCGAGTAACCTCTTCCCCAACGGGGACAGCTCAGAGAGAAGAGAAGGGGCCACCATCGGTGGAGGCAGGATGCTGAGTGGCAGCCCCATGATGAACAGCACCAGCATGATAAGCAGCGGAGACGCGCCCCCCCAGAATGCCAGAATACTCAAACCGCTGGTCCAAGAAAAAATCGTCGAAATTATGAAGCCAGAAATTGAAGAAAAAATAATCGAAGTGCCACAAGTGCAGTATATAGAAAAACTCGTAGAAGTCCCACACGTCATCCTCCAAGAGAAATTAATCCATGTTCCCAAACCAGTGATTCATGAGAGAATCAAAAAGTGTCCCAAGACTATCTTCCAGGAAAAGATCGTGGAAGTTCCACAAATTAAAGTGGTAGACAAAATAGTGGAAGTGCCTCAGTATGTGTATCAGGAGAAAATAATCCAAGTGCCAAAAATCATGGTGCAAGAGAGAATCATTCCAGTACCTAAAAAAGTGATCCAAGAAAAAATCGTCGAAATTCCTCAGATCGAATTAAAACATATAAACATTGAAAAGGTCCAGGAAATCCCAGAATACATCCCAGAAGTGGTCAAGAAAGATATTCCATACACACAGATAGTGGATCGCCCTTTTCACGTCGAAAAAATTGTGGAAGTTCCGCATGTTCAGCATATATACAGAAATATTGTCTCCCCACAGTATAGACACATACCCAAGCCTGTGGAAGTCCCAATGGCACATTATAGGACATTCCCTATTGAAAAGCTCGTCGATAGAAATGTACCTGTCCCGGTTGAACTTCAAATAGTCCAAGAATTCTTATGCCCAAAAATTGAAGCCAGATATAAAGAAATTCCTGTCCCTGTGCATGTGCAACGGATTATTGAACACCCTATTCCTAAGGACGCCATGAATAACCCATTTCTTCTGCCCCTCTACTATCAGGAAGACAATGTCGACACGGCATCGACTAAGGGAAGCTCGAACAATTGCTTCTCTTTCAACTGGAACAATAAACAAAACGCTACAAGAATTAACAAGGGAACGAAGCAACCATCTGTCGAACTGTTACTACATAATGACAAATATCACAATAAGGTCAACACCAATCGGGATGTGCATATGAAAGCCAAATTTGTTCCTCCTTCTGGAAATGTTTACCCAAGTACACACTTAAGAGATGATGACCCCCTAACCGCGCAATCCGCTTATCATTACCCAAATGGTACACAACAGGGTAATGCTTCCCTTCACGGAAATGCCGTCCTAAACCAGCTGTACAAAACGCAACATGTCACCAGTCAGACGGATTACCCTTCCAACTTTAACACTCCCATGATGTCTCCTCAAGATCAAAACAATATGTTTAATGGGAGCAACACCATGGGGTTTACCCACCCAAGTGACAGGGAAGTGGGTATTTCTTACTCTCCCATTTCGGCCCTTGGCCAGGTCTCCCCGCATGGCGAGTTGAACTGATCACCTCGGGGGAGGCACCTCCCCAGAAAGCGGTCTAGCACGGCGATTTAGCAAAATTTACACAATTGAAGTGGGAGTCTACACCGAACAATTCGGGAATGTTCCACTTGGGAGGTGTGTTTTTTTTCCCCAAAGGGGTTCGCTTTTGTCAGAATTGTTTTGTTCCATCTTCGCGGCTTTGTCCAGTTGTTTTTATCCAGCCACTTTTGTTCAGCTGCTTTTATCCAACCGCTTCTGTCCAGCTGCTTTTATCGAGCCGCTTCTGTCCAACCGCTTCCATTTTGCGCCATTTGATTGTTTTCCTTTTCCGTGTACACACCCCTGCGCAGGTACGCACACATATTCTCATTTTTTCGTTCCTTTTTTGAACACCAAGAACGTTTTAATTATTTTTTCGTGAGTCTCCACCGCTCCCTTCTGTCCCCTAACGGGGTAAGGCACTCCCTCACGCTGGCTGTTTGCCGCTACCGCGGAGAGTCGATCGGGCTTGGTCAAGAACAGCTCCACTTCGCCGAGAAAAAATATCATCGCGATTACGAATTGGGTTGCTTTTTCTAAGTTGCGTTGCACGATTAACAAAAAAAAAAAACTCAGCTGTATGTACAGACATGCATATGGACATATATCTATATATAGATGTATTACACATATATGTATATATAAATGTATTACACATATATGTATACATATGCACATACGCATTCACAAATAGGAACGAAAAAGGCAGGACATTCTTACAGGGCAAAGGAAATGGGCAGAACGAAAAATTAATAAGAGACAAAAGGGGGGGCGGGGGCAATGATCATTACAAACTGATCATTAAAAATACGTCTGTGCGCCCTGCGTGTGGAGTGTCAATGTGTAAATGGGCACACTGCATACCTACACGCGCATTCCCCGCGTCCTCTGGGGAAAAAAAAAATAAATAGGTAGTTCAGTAGGTATGGAGCTAGCTATGTAAAGGACGCGGGAAAAAAAAAATAAAAATAAATCGATTTACCAACACTTCAAAATGCTTTACAAATGTATTACTTGTCATGAGAAAAATGTGAAAAAAAAAATTAAGACAAATGTTACGTTTTCATAAATACTTAAAAAATGGGGTAATGAATAGGGGGGGGGAGGGTTCGCAAAAAATTGGGCACGTCAGAGTTGAGTTGCCTTGACCGCCACGCTACTCACCGCTAACACTACGAACCGCTCAATACTCGTGCGCGTTTATTATATCCTTGGGAACCTTGGAGGGCAAATCAAAGCCCTCCGTCTTCATCTCGATGAAGTGCCGGGCGAGAGAGTACTCGAACAAGTCGAGGTAGCCATCCTTGGTGATGTCGGCGAGGTTCCAAATTTTGTGCAGAACAGAGCTGGGTAATTTGCTCTTGATCAGATCAGCCTTCACCTGCTCTCCAGACAGCTTGCCAAAATCGTTGGGTCCCAGTTTGTAAAAATCGTCCGAATATTTCGAAGTGTCAATGGGACTTAACAAATATTTCTGTTTCACCCACATGGGAATCTCTCCAGAGGTCAGCTCCAAAAAGGGAGTCAATTTATTCTCAACGATGGTGCCTTCCTGAGTTTCATATCTGGATTGCTCAATGTTAAAGGATTCTTTTGGGATCATTTCTAACAGTTGTGGTATATGAATATTTAATACTTTATTAATTCGTTCGATTTTTTTTAAGTCCAATTTTGGAATGTTTAACCAGTCAATGTCGTGTAGTTTCTCTCTCATGAATTGTACATTGGGGAAATCACCCAGAGGTAAGTTGTATTCCTTTGCGACTTCTTCGTACACCTTATCTAACGTTTTGATTAGCTTATTCTTAATATAGTTCTTCCTAAAGTAGGGTAACTTTTTCCTCAAGTGGGACAACAAATACATGTGCACCTTCAACGTTCTACACCTTTTAATAAAATCGTTCAACCGAATCATCGTGGAGTTTCTTGGAATCTTGGACAACTCCTTATACAGATCAGAGGCTTCTTCTTCGAAAATATTCCTATTTTCATCATGCATTAACCTTCTATCCCAGAAGGAACCTATATAAACTCTATTAACTTCTGGCGTGTTTATTACAATTCCTAGGGACCACATCAGCGATCCGTATACCCTCATCAGCTGCTGTGTGTTAATCGTATCGGCCTTATTTAGAATAATTCGTATCTTCGAATCTTGTCCTTTTATTGCTTGTATGCATCTTCTAAACTCGTCTGAAATGTCCAATTTGTGCGCGTCAAAGATGAGGAGTATTAAGTCCACCCTCTGAGCAAACCAGTATATAACCTTCTCGAAGTCGTAGCCCCTACTGATTTGCTTTATTCCACTTAGAACCCCTGGTGTATCAATTATCGTTAGAGACTTCAACACATCGCTGCACGTGTTGGAACACTCCAATTTGGAGAGGAAGCTGTTCCCAAAACTTTCCAATTGAGAAAATGGCTTTGTTATATCACTGACAAGGGCATTCCCAGGAATTAGCTGCTCCTTCTCATTATACATCACTGCTACGAACTTATCCGTTGTCGGCTCTGGTCCTATTCTCATTCCGCAATACTCCTTCTCTATGAGGTGCTTTATAAAGGTCGTCTTCCCTGTTGAATACTGACCAAGCAGAAGGATCATCGGCTTGGACAGAAAATCACCGCTCGTTAAGAGCGGCTTGTAAAAATGGTAGTAGTTGAACTCATTCTCCAATTCCAGGATGTACGTTTTGTACAGGGAGTACAGCCCCTCCAGCACGTTGTCGTAGACGACCGTTTCTTCCTCGGTCCTGTACAGCAGCTTTTTCATTCTCCGCTGTTGAGGGGGGTTGGGACGGGGGGGCTTCTCTCCGTGCCTCTAGCCAAAATGAGGCAGCTCAGGGGTTCGCTATATATATGTATATATATATAAATATACTCGTGTGTACCTATGGCAAGCGCCGCACTGCAGCCCAACTACACCGAGTCGAACCGAATCGCTGCTGCGTGCCAAACTCGCTCCTCGGGGGCGCTCACGTCATAATCGCCCCTTTGGCAGGTGTCTCTCGAGTGGCTGCCTCCTCTATCGCACTTTAACGCATGGGGGAGACACTCGCCTGACCTTATTCTCCTATTCCTATTCCGCGCCACAGTTGCTCACTAACCGCTCCTTTGTCACTATTTTGCTTTACTTCTTCTATTACCTTTTTGGGAAGGCAAAATGTACTGCTCTGTGCTGTCGTGTCACCCTCTCACAGAGTGCACCCTCGTCATTTTGGTGCACAACTGGGGAAGGGTCACTATTTCAAGTTTAAAAGTGGGGCAAAACAAAATGGCGAAACTAAAATTTGATATGTTTAGATCATATGTAAGGGGTATGGGTGGGGGTTGGTTGAAACCTGCCCCGTTGCGGGCATTCAAACTTCGCAAATGGCGAAAACTGCGCGAGGCGTTGGCTAAAAGGAGCTGCTTCAACAAATGGATACAAATAAGCGTGATGGGAGGCAAATAATATACATACGGTGCATACTGTACATTCTGTACATGTAAACATTGAAACGCTGCATACCAGCGTGCGCGGGTAACTGCTTGCCTCTCTCTACAAGGGCGATCGCCGCTTCACAAAAGCGCCTCCATTCAATTCAAAAGTGAATTGTTTTTCCTCTTAAAAAATAGTTTTCGCTGCTTAATTTCTCCAAGTTGGTCCAAATTGGGAAAATCGAAAAAAAAAAAAAAAAAAAAACATTGCCACTACGCATGCGCAGTACATAGTGCTATTTTATGTACGTACATAAATTGGAAAACATTTTTCATGTGAACTATGTAAAATTACCCATTGCGGCAAAAATGAATTGCCTCACGCGGCGACGTTTTAACTTTTTAAAATTTTGACGCAGTGCCTTCCTTGGCTAAATTGCAAAGGACGGTATGCCCGGCCGGATGACATAAAGCGGCCCCCAGGAAAAGCTGCTAAATAGGTGTTCTCTCCATGAAATCTCCTCACTTCTCGTTGCAAAAAAAAAAAAAAAATCGCAAATTTTTTAAGAGCCACTTTGAGAAAAATTGCCACTTGCTCCTTCTAAAAATGCGTGCCTCCACCGCAGGGGAAAGAAATGCATCAACAAAGGTATGCCAAAATGTATGCGCAGATAGTATGCCCCATTTGTATAACGAACGAAGTGGGCACGTGCCAGTTTGCATCGCTGAATTCTCCCCGTATGCCAGATCAACACGTTGTCATTTTAAAGCACTTGTTGCCCTTCCCCCATTTTGAAAACATCACCTCTCAGGCGAGACATTATACGGCTGCGCACTTCGCCCAAGTGGCCTATTAATTATCGCAATATAATAATTCCAGCTGAACGTTCCCCAAAAATTTTTTTCTCAACTCCGACAGTGGTTCAATTGCCAACTGGTGGAGGGGAATACATACACCTATGCGTCGTGCTGAAGCGAAATGAAAAACAAATACCTGGGAAAGAAACACCACCCACGCATTGTAGCGAGGCCAGCCAAATAAAACAAGGCTAAAAATAGCCAAGTGGTTAGGAACAAATGGGGGGTGTCACTACCACGACAATGCGGGCACCTCCTACAGGCGCAAACAGTGAACCAAACAGATTGTGCCACCTTTTTTAGGATAAAAAAGAAATGAAAAAATGGTACATTACAACTGCATCTACTGTTCCATTTGTAGATTCACAATTTGGCAAGAAGGCCAATATAAATACAGCCAGATTGTATTCCTTTTTGCCATTTTTGGGGTAACTTTCTTCATCCCATTTGGAGGTAAAAAAAAAGCTCCGTCGCAAGTTTATACACACTGGTGCAGCACATGTTGTGGTTTCTCCCCGCGCGGGGGGTGTCCGGTTACAAACTGCAACTAGGAACCCAGTTTACAATAAAATCGCGCATCAGAAAAAATGGAAAACTCCTAAGCAATACAGACGCACATTCTCACAAATGATTACCACTTGAGTATTCTCCTCTTCCATTTTTCCAAATTAATTTCGATTCAAAATTGCCTCAACACGCAGGCGTAATTATTCCCAAAATTGGCATAGCTAAGGAGCTAGATAGCTATTTTTTTTTTTTTTTTTTTTTTTCATAAAAAAAGTGAAAATTGTAAATGCGCTTATTCTCCCCATGGTATATCTACCAAAACGCACAGAGTGGTCTTTACGCGAAGAAATACATGCTAGATTTTGTTGCGCCTTACAATGAGCTGAGTAGACTACTTCCCACAACACATCACGCAGGAAGGTTTTAAAAAAGTGTGCTCCTTTGTTCTAACTCTCTTTTTATGGAACCATATAAACGGGCTACGCGGACTGGCCTCATCATGTTCTGTCCTCAAATTTGCACCAACCGGGTTGTTGTTCCTCCTCATTGCTCATTTATTAAATGAGGAGAAAAAAAACTTCATTGCCATTTTGGCGTGAGGAGTATGCTTTTCCCCCGTGTACATAAAAACGCGTGCGTGCATGGGTATGTTACCCCACTCATTGTTCTTAAAACGAACGAGTAACAAATTCAACTCAAGAAAGGTTCTCCCCAGTTTGCATCGAACTGTGACACCCCTGCAAGTGGGTCCCCCCGCTCTGCATTTTAGCCGCCGAAAGGAGCCCTCACAAAATCACACAAACGGCGGAAATTTAACGAAGCGGGAGGGCCATACACTTTTGGCAGCTCTACATGCACATCATCAGCCCAGTGGAACAGGGGTAGCCATACAAAAAAAGAAAAAAAATAAATAAAAATAAAGCAAAACAGATTATAACATAACACAACACAATATGACATAACAAACGATGAGCGCACCGCGCGAATTGCCAAACTATTCCACCACAATCGTCGCCCCAAACGATTGCATTTTTCGGCCAAGTTAAAACGAAAATTCGGAAAAAAAATGTGCAAAATAGTATGTGACAAAGGGGAGGCAGAGAAGCAACGTTCGTGCGATCAAGCTGGAACAAACTAGGTCGCACCCTTAACCAACGCTGCTAAAACGTGTGGGGAGGCCTCCACGTATGGGACGAAAAAGGTGGTCGTTTCTCAGCCAAGGGGCAGGCGTAATTGTAACCGTACTTTCAACCAAGCTTGTTTCGTTATCTGTCGATACCACCCCTCTACATTAGAAATTCGTTTCCCTGTTTCCATACCCATTTGGTAGTGAAAGAAGACCCACCTCACATAGCACCTTCGTTTGGGAAATTCACGCTCAAGGGAAGGTCACAACCTGAGCAGCTTTTCCTCTGTACTGCTCACATCATGGACGCTCTCTTACAGAAAGGAGAAAAAACTAAAATGAACGAAATATGCAAAAGCTTTCGAAATATGTCTGCCATAAGGTCATCATCGGCAAGGAGAAGCGTAACTGTCACAGGCTCATCGTCACAGCGGTAGGACCCTCCATAATTCCCACCACCCCAAAATGCATCACGCGCAGAAAGAGCGGCCCCACCCCAACAGACCGCAAAGCCTATAGCTTGCTCAGAGATTACATGGTGGAAAGATATCACGAAAGTAGACAAAAGAGCCCCCTTTACGACCGCAATGAAAGCATCAACTTTATCGAGACTAGTAATCCCGGAAGGAGGGAAATTTTGCACCATCGGAAGGATGTCGTAGACATTGTTCACATCGACCGGAACATATTCACCTCGCTGAAAAATGTCCTTTCCCTAATTGATAGGATAAATACTCGAGTGGTGCAAAATGGATTAGCGGCCAGTACACAAATTCGCACCCCCTCCAGTAATGGGATGCTGCAAACCAGAGCAGTCATAAATGAGAAGGAGTACCTCTTCTGTGTAGAAGTGGGAGAAGATAGCACAGACGAAAGCGCACATCTGAGGAGAAACTCCTGTCCAGAGAAATTCCCCCCTTGTGATGATGAAGATCTTGCTCATTTGAAAAGAGAAATTCAAGGCCTCGATTTTTTCGCCTTATCTTCTCTACTCCGCGTATACCAGAAAATCGTCAGAAAGAAATATGACCCTCATGAGGGTAACCTTTCCAGAGCACCTTTCCCATTTAACAGGGTGGAAAATTTCATCCTTAAAACGTTATGCTCTCACATTGACAATCTGCTTCAACGAAAGAACAACAGAAAAGGTGAAACGGTGGAGAACAATCTCCAAGAAACTCCAAGCGGCAAGGCCCCCTTCCGTGCCATATACTGGGAAGTATTAAACATTTTACAAAGTCTTACACACAACAAAGGGGAATACATAGACGTCATAAATCGAGTGCTATATGCACAGTTTAAAATTGTGGACAAACACAGACATCATTATAACTATGCCTTCTCGGTTGCTCTCCTTCCTGTGATTAATGAAGTACTCCTATATCAGTCAACTCGGTTAGGGTCACCTCCAACAGGGGAAGGAGACTTCCATCACCCTGCGTTCTTTGCAACCATAGGTGGGAACCCGCTTCATATGCAGAAGGAGGCCTTTACGTGGGGATACATCGAGGAGAACTACCAAAAAGGAGAGCTATCTGTGTATAGAAGTGGCTCCCCAATGGGTGATGAACAGAGTAGAAATATAGACACCCCGCAAAACAGTGCAGATCTCATTTGTCCCCCCATCGAGACAGTCCAAAAAGAGTCTAACCCCCCTGCAGATGTTGCCAAATTCTCCTACTTGCAACAGTACAGCATCACCCTGCTCAGCATAATTGCCAAAAAGATTAAGTACATGGAAAAGAGGAACCATGTTCATGACTTAGGGATCATACTCGAGGGTATCAACACCTTGCTGCATGTGAGAAGCAGCTCTGGGGAAGAAATCTCCAGCTTGATAAATCGGAGGGTCGAATTTTTAAAGGACGTCATCTCGAAGGATAAAGACCACCCCACGGGCGTTAGCCAAAATGTGTATCTCCTTGTCTTTCTTGACTTCATTTTTAACTTCTTAAAAAATGTAAAATTTCGTCCCAAGTCGTCCATCCCTAGGATGACAAAAAAGGGGGAATATCTTGGGGACCACTTTCTTAAAATTCTCTGCCTGTGTAGCAGCATTAGGCAGATACTAACGAGTGGGATAAGACGTAATGACAGCAGGAAAGGTCACCACCAGCGTGGCCCCTCTGTTGTGTGCACCAATGATGCGCCGCTCTATGCAGACCAAGCCTCGAAACTAATCAGTAGGGTAAATAAAAATATCGGTCTTCTGATCAGCGAGGTAATTTTAAATGCCCCCAATTATGGTTCGCCCACCCGTTTGGAAAGCAGCCATCTGCCCAACGCCTACATGGCTTACCTACTCAATGACGTCTACCTGCAGAGCAACAGTCAAGTGAAAAAAATGACTCTTTCGCATTTTGTGAAGAAGAAGGAATCGTCACATTGGGGTAGTCAACCAGGTGAGAGGCAAATTTACCTGGAATATATCACCCTCCACAATTTTGTGAAAATATTCAAAGGGGACATTAACCAGGCGGAAGGGAAACGCGCGGAAAGGAGAGACGCGGAAAGGAAAGACACAGAAACGGAAATCGAAAACTCTGTTGAGAAGGTTTTCCCCTTCTTTCGCACCTTCCTGGAGAACTGCACAAATATGCATAGAGGCCAAAATGACGCTACAGAAATGTCGCGTGACCACCAGATGAAGCAACTCCTGCATGGGATAAACAAACTCTGCTACTTCTACGCGCTGTGCAAAAGGCACATCACGAATGCCAATTTCGTGGCCCTTGCAAATTGTAACTTCTACTTTGCATTTTCGATAATTAATTGTCACATCGAAAAATGCCTGAACAGGTCAGGACTTTTTTTCCCTCATTTTGTCAACATGTGTGTGCAAAAGATATCCGTCATTGTGGGCACTCTGAAATGTTTCGGCCTACCAGCGGAGGAGGACTTGGCCAACTGCCTCTCCAAATTTATCACGCTGACGCATCTGTGCATGACTGAAGAGAACAGGAAGAGTCTCCTTCTTTATGTGTTGCCCTATGTGGAGCGCTCCAGAAAAGACGTTGACAAGTTGGAACAACTCTTAATGGATACCCAAGTGCCATCACTCAGTGGCGAAGAAGGGAAGGATGAATGTACCCCCGCAGGGGAGAGCAAAAGTTCTTGTGAAGATGCTCAGCAGACAAGCGAGGTTTACTGTGGAAAAAAACCGTCTAGTTGCACCCACATTGAAAAGAGCCAATCTGATGACACCCCCTTACGCACCCATCAAAACTTGCACCAGATGGAAAAACGCATCGCAGAGGTACTATCCACATTCGAGGAAAAACAAATTTCCCCCATCGAGAGTAAGAAAATGTACGAACTGCTAAACGAACTGCTACAGGAACTGCGGCAGGAGCATGTCAGGGGGAGTTTCCTACTTAGGAAGGAAAACCAGATCCTGAGAAACAAGTTAAATTACATCTTGCTCAATTTTGACTCGTTTATTAAGACACATATTACCGAAGTAGTTACGCAGCAGGAGTGGCTCTTTACCCATCATGATGACGAGGGGGAATTAGCTCAGACAGGAAAAGGTTGCCTGCGTGTTGCACTCCATCCCGCGGTTCACATGCGTGGAGAAGCCACCACAGAGGGAGACAACAACTCCATTGGGGGGGTACCCGAAAAAGATGTTGACGAGACTGCTCCGGGAGACGATCATCCACATGGACAAGCCAAACTAGGACTCCACTTCGACTACGGACACGTCAGTGCGAAGAATGAATATTTTCGACAGCTACAAAAATACGAACGGGAAGATTACCAAAAAATTAACAACGTTCTGATAAACATGTACCTGTGCAATCCGTACATATGCTCCAAGAGTAAAGATGTTGTCCTATCCAGTGGTAAATCTCAAAAAAGAGTAATCATTTTGCCACAGGACACGTATCGGAACATACACAAGTTGTTCGTTGCCGGGAAGGGCGACGAGGGGCTGAAACTGATGAGGCGTGTCCACAGTTCGGTCCACCTATTCTTCATCCGGGTGAAGTTTTTTTTCAGCAGGTTGAGTTAATGAGACGCACACATAGACGGTACTAGTTCGCAAACGGCATACCTGTGGTGCCTCTTCCCCACCCCACCCCTCGCTTCTTCTTTCGTGAACTCCTCATTGTGCGCATATACATGCAAATGTTTATCAACCGCTCATTCATATGTACCATATTATAATTGTTTTTACGGGTGTGTTGTTTCCTTTTCCTTTCCCTTTTTTTTTTTTTTTTTTTTTTGTTCCTTCGGAAAACTCTACAGACCGAGCAGCCAAAACTGGTAAGCATATTTGTTTTGTTCACCTGGGGGAGGAAGCACACCCTACCACATGCGAAATATAGAAGGGAAAATATTCGCATAAGTACATCCTTTCATATGTACGTGCGGATACGATTCGCAGTGAGATACCCTGAAGGGGGGAAAAAAAAAAGTTCGCCACGAAAAGGCTGCTTCCCCCCCTTGTGTCATCAGAAGTGCCCATATTTTCCAACTTCCCCATATTCCTCCTCCCATTTCGGGCGAAGGCTAAATTTTGTGAAGCACAAATGAGAGCAAAATTATTCGGGAAAAATATTCAAAATGGCTTTTATAAAGGGTTTGCACAAAATGGCAAGTTAAATTCGCTTCAATTGCAATACAGTTTTTTCTCCTCCAATTGGGGCCATCTTGTCGCGTTCCGAGTGTTTGGGCGGATGGGCGCCACTTTGATCCCCATGGATAAAGCAGCCGCCCGTTGGCTTAAACGGCCCCAGGCAAAAATGAATAGGCGCAAAGTGCTACATTGCCTTTAAGCGCCGAGTGCCTGCGCGAGCATAACGTATTGCCGTAGAATATTTTTCACGCTACGGTCGTATGAAGTCAAAATTGTTCAGCATTTTAACTGGGCATATCACAGAAACCATATGGCTGTCGCTCCTATTCTCTTTCCTTTTTAACTTTTTCGCAATTTTTTTCCCCATTTTGCGCTGCGCTTTTGACCAAGCGAAAAAAATGCAGCGCCGGTAAATTTTGCAACTCCCCAAAAATTTGCAGCAGTAGTTAATTCAACCCAGTAATATATTTCCCGCTTTTTTCTTTTGTTTTTTCTTTCTTTTTTTACCATTTCGCCAACTGTCGCGAATTTAAGGCGCAGTGGAAACGTGAAGCATTGTGTATCCTCACATTGTGACGCAGTCACGAAGCCACATAGCTGAATAGCTACTTCATAGTTACTTCCTAGTTACATTTCTACCTCGCCCGAACCATCTGCGCAAAATGGTGAACGTCCCCAAAACGAGGAAAACCTACTGCAGCAACAAATGCAAGAAGCATACCATGCACAAGGTCAGTCAGTACAAAAAGGGAAAGGAACGATTGTCGGCCTTGGGAAGAAGAAGATACGACATGAAGCAGAAGGGATTCGGAGGCCAAACTAAGCCCGTTTTTAAGAAGAAGGCCAAAACTACCAAAAAGATCGTTCTCAAATTGGTAAGCAGTAGGGGGAGGGAAGCCTTAATCGCCTAGCCTTTACCCCAAAAGATTATGTGATCCGTGCTTGCTTCTCCACTGCACCGCGGCACACCAGCGTTATTGTACCCATACCACCAAGGGGTATATATCAATGTGTTTATTTTATTTTATTTTTTTCCCGATGCAGGAATGCACAAAATGCAAGAAGAAACGATTTCAAACTCTTAAGAGGTGCAAAACGTTTGAGATGGGAGCCGATAAGAAGAAAAAGGGAGCCGTTTATTAAGGTCCCCACCCCTGTATATTGCTGTCTCCTCCAAAGGAGAAAACTCCTTTTTCATTAAGTGTTACAAATCAAATCACCCTGTTCGGGACTCTCATTCATTAGGTGGTGCTGCATCGCGTGTTTGGTGCAAACAGAGGCGCAGTTGTAAAGCTGAATAGGTCCGCTCATATGCTCGCTCGGGGGTGCGCAAGTATACCCATGCGAGTATGCGCATATATGCAATGCTTATATTATATGCACATATTCCCGCTGTGCGACGTGTGCGTTCGTGCCCCTTGCATGTGCGGAGTGATAATCCGCACGGAACATTTTTCGAAAAACTTCCTTAAAATGTAAGAAACGAACTGCTAAATTTATCCGTGTTTACCAAGGGTGGCAGACACTAAATAGGCATTCGCCCCCCTCCCGCCGCAGTGCAACCGCATGCACATGCCGCCTGGGTGTCCCCATTTCGAAGGATGCGCACATCTCCAATTGTAACGACAAAAAAACAGCGCTATTCCTGTGCGTATCCCATTTATGCAGCAACCAGGAGAAGCAGGGAAAGTCTCAAAGGCCTCACTTGACCATCCCCTGTAGCTCTCCACTGGCGTACAAATCTGAGATGATGTCGTAACCACCGATGAAGGTGTTATTTATGTATAAGTGGGGGATGTAGGGCCAATTGCTGTAAATCTTTATCGCCTCGCGCAAGTCGTTGTTTTTCATTACGTCGATGTATACGTAGTCCTTTACGTTCATATTATTCAGTATGTGGACCACCTGCGCAGGGGAAAAGGAAAAAAAAAAGGTTAGCCACTGCACAAAATGGGCATATTAAAATGTGCATCTCCTGGGTGTAAATTAGTCCAAAAAAGAAAAATGTAAGTTTCTCAGACGTGGGAAAAACTGGACTTAAATAGGAAAAACTATCCCATGGCAGATATATAAATCTCACCTTTGCGCTAAACCCGCACTGGGGAGTTTCCGGGGTTCCCTTCATAAACAGCACAATTTTCTCCTTCTCAAGGATTTCCTTAATTTTCCCCTTCAGAGTCTACGAAGTGTGAGCAAAAAAGGTTAAAAACAGACAGGTGTCACTTAGCACAGAGGGAAACTGCTTGGAAGCAATAAAATGTGCTTACATAAGAAACGATGTATCATTTTTAAAGATGAAAATTGCACCATCTCATAGGTACCATCTCAATTCCCTCCCTCTTTTAACCTGGTACACGTCCGATTTTTCAAAGTCTTTAAAGTCGTCCGAGCCGCTGCTTATCTTCTTCTCGGGTCCTCCATTTTGCTTATCTTGAGGGGAAGTACTGAAGTTCGCTTTCGAAACCTGATTGCAAGAAAGGAACTTTAGGTTTCTCCTCACTATGTTTCGATTCATGCGAAGGAGGATCTTACAACTGTTTCTTACCATCATTGTAGAAAAAAGATAAAAAAAAAAAAATTATGCACAGGTCAGGTTTCCTTGCCTAGAACTACGTACAAAACAGCTAATTTACATTATTTAAAAAAAAAAATTATTTCATGTTCATAATTTTTTTTATGCCAAGTGACTTTATTTCAATTCGCTGTATTGTATGTTTCTCTTTTTTTTTGTTTTTTTCCTTTTCCCCCAACTAGCAGAACTGGAACAGTTGCCATGGCACAGTGAAGTAGCTTACATCACCACGGCGCCACAATTCGATGATACGTTAATTTGTTTCTATAAAACAGCTCACCATTTTGTTGTTTCTAAAATTTAACGACGGTGCCATTCAATGTGGCGCAACATTCGCATCTCCAATTTGTGTGCATAGTTTATCGCACCTGAACAAGGTATGCCAAGTGGTGAGGAAAAAAAAAAAAAAAAAACTTTCTGCGTTAACACATATCAGTTAATTTGCCACCATTTTGGTTAGCTGGTTGATTTCCCTTGGGGAAAAAATATGTCTTCACCCTTTTCCGTCCTTTCCCCCTTGTATATAGCAACTTCTCAACTAAGGCAAAAATATGCGACAACGACATATGCCTGTTTCCCCGTCATCACCGCTGCTTAACATTTAATGGACACCACTAGAACAAGCAGTGAAGACACAAACGCAGTTGCGCTATCACCTGGTTACCATTTCTTTTCCCTGTGCTTCGCACAAAAGCTGGGCGCGGTTTGGACACACCTTGCGGTTGTTTAAAGCTACAAAATTTTCGCTAAGACAAACTGTGAGAAAGGTGTGAAAGTGTTTTACGCACATGTATGCCTTTATACACAACAACAAATTAGTGGTTGTGTCATAAGGGAAAAATTCCCTCCCTCCGAATTATTATGCCCGCTTTTTTCTCTGACCCCCGTTCGTGCCCAAAGAACAGACGTCGCGCCCCGTTTACCAGGGAGAAAATTTAACTCGCCTTTTCTGAGTTTGCAATTTTTTGAATTTCCCAGAATATCGGTTCTTTCTTTAACTTGTTAAAAAAAAAAATACATTCTCAAAATTTAAGTTCTCCACGTTCAGCAGTATATATAACACATACGAAAAAAAGAAAAAAGAAAAAATATACGTCAAAAAAGGGTCAGTCAAAAAGGGAAAATTAATATAAATGTTTTTTTGTTTTTTCTGTTTTTTTTTTGTTTTTTCTGTTTTTTTTTGTTTTTTCTGTTTTTTTTTGTTTTTTTCGCTTTGTTTTTGTCACGATAAGTGTTTAAAAATACTCATATCGTGTTTTCTAGAAATGCACAACTGATTCTGCGTAAGGGCTGTTACTTATTACGCTTTACACACACGTGCATACAGTTACATGTAAACAGCAGGAAACATTCATAAGAAGGGGGAAAAAATCATGTACCTACGGGCAAGTATTTTTGTGCATCTACAAAAACACTTAATATGCACCGTGAAAGACGCCGAAAAAAATGGATGCCAGCTACTTAATTGAATAATGCTAGGACTAGCAATATTACTACCCCTAATGAATTACTCACAACGTTAAATATGCCAGCGCACTTCTCCATTTTACAAATTTCTACCTCAAGGTCATCCAGAGTAAGTTCCTCTGGTTTCTTGTTAGATGCACTAACTTTTCTTCGAACTCTTACACCCTGTCCACAGCTTACACTGCATACACTCCATTCGGTGGTAAGGTTAGATTTCACTCTGTCTAGGTAATCTTTCACAACCTTTTCATCTGGGGCATTATCACCTCCCGCATTTCCTGCTCCTTCTCCTGCGTTTCTTGCTGCTCCTCCTGGCTTTTGTGCTGGTCCTCCTGGCTTTTGTGCTGGTCCTCCTGGGTTTTGTGCTGGTCCACCTGGGTTTTGTGCTGGTCCACCTGGATTTTGTGCTGGTGGTGCTGGGCCCCCTGCTGGTGGTGCTGCGTCCCCTGCTGGTGGTGCTGGGCCCCCTGCTGGTGGTGCTGCGTCCCCTGCTGGTGGTGCTGCGTCCCCTGCTGGTGGTGCTGCGTCCCCTGCTGGTGGTGCTGGGCCCCCTGCTGGTGGTGCTGGGCCCCCTGCTGGTGGTGCTGCGTCCCCTGCTGGT